TCGTACATATACTGGGTTAAACAAATGCACTTTACTAAAGTCAATGTCACTTGCTGCTTTAAAAAAAAAAAAAATAGGTTACCAGGAATTTAGCATGTGTAGCTTGAATAGGTGGTCTGAACTGCATTTCCATTGGACCACACCGTTCTCACACATTTAAAAGACAGGGAGATGAAGACAGCATTCTGGAGTTTGGAAGGAAGTTCATTCACAGAAATACAGCCCCAACACACAAGCTGATTAAAACTTAAATACAGCTCTGACCGGACCAACTCCAGAAAACTTTCTCTGGCAATATGGAGTAAAAATGGAGAATCAAAGTGACTGTAACAGCTTCCTTCCCACAATGGTGGGGACTCTGCACCACTTTCAATCTCCTCTCCAGACAGGGGACCTAGCAAAGATGCTGCCCTCCAACTAGCACCTGACCTTTCAGTCCCCTCCAAGGGCCAGCAAGTTGGGATGCATGACTGACCCCACCAGTCATTGGTGGCCCTTACAGAGGGTTCAACCAGGGGCAGGTGGCACAACACACCTACCCCACAGGGTTCACCTAAAGTCAACTGACTAATAAATAAAAAAGCATAAGCAATAACGTGGCACACTTGTGGCACATCACAGTGGCTCACTTTGACCAATACCACTCAGACAACGTATTTCACACCACACACACACAACTGCAAAGACGAATAGAGCAAAGTTCCACCAGACAATACCTACCTGTGCCCTGGGCTGCACCTTAACTACTTCTGTCTCTCTCCTATACTATTCTACTTTATTCTCTTTTGATTGCTGATCATGACTCACCAAGTTGATGTCACAATCCATCAATGGGGCAGCGATGGTCTACTTTGCCTACCGTCATAAGAAATGCTCTCCTCACTCTGATTTTCACTGCCATTTGACCACCGCACCTTTTTCCAGAATATGGGAATTGGAATGTGACCTCGGAATCCTTCTGAACACAGTGACCCAAGCAGCCACAAGCAATTCCTTGGAGTCAGAATCAGAAATGAAATCTATTTATTGCTATCCTTGATTTGGTCCAAAGTGCTCATTTTGTAAACACAATCATTGTTTCCTGAGGCTGTGTAGGAAAAAGTGATTTGCCCAAGGTCACAGAGCAAGACCTTGAGAGACTCCGGCTGAGTATCCACAAAACTACTTCTTTACATTCCCAGAAAGGAGACACAACTGAGATAAAACATCATAAGAACATGGAAAAACTAAAAATTTCCTATAACCACAAAAAGTCAGCTTATGTACAGGCTGTGGAACGTGGCGAAGAACTTCTTGTCGCCCACCGAAGAGAAGATAAGGAATCTGAGGTCAGTGGACGCAGCCATGCCAAGAGCTGACTCAAAGACAGGGAAAAAACTGACATTGGAGGAGTTTAAAACTATTCCTCCATTGAAACAGGCCATTGGTGTTTATCTTCTAGCACCAGGGAGAGGTCAGCCTCACGCTGACCAGCCATCTTTGTAGCTCTCCTGCTAAAGCAAGAACCCTTGTTCAAGTTCACCTCGGCGCAGGGCTAAGAGTATAAGCAAGCCCTTTTCCTAGTTTGGTGCAAAGTCAAGCTACAAAGCAAGCCCTTGAAATTTCAAACCTATTAGAGAGGAGGAGGGGGGTAAGAACCTCCTTAGGCAGAAAAGCAAAACATTAAGTAATAAGAGTCTCCACTGTGGAACTGAGTATAAATGATCTTTCACCAAAATAACTCAGACCATCATCAAATTACCACCCCTCAAATCCAATTTGCCAGATCTTTTGCCCAATATTATAAGAAAACGTGATGAACAGACCGGGCTTAGAAAAGTTAGCTCCTATATCCATTTCTGGTCACACTTCCATCTAAAAGAGGAGGTGAGAGAGACAGGGCCTGGGTCACATTTCAATCCAGAGACACCAATAGAAACAAAAGGAAACTAGCCCCGCCCCGCAGGACCATCATGCACTTCTGTTTCCTTTACAACAAACATGACCAGAATAACCAATTCTGTAAAAAAAAAAAGGGGGGGGGGGGAAAAAAAAAAAAAAAACAAAAAACAGGTCTACAAAGACAAATGATTTTCAAATTTTAGTGCTTTTAGACTGACAAGAGAACAAAATTTCAAGCAGAATAGAAAGAAGGCATCTGAGTTGTGTGTCAGAGGATTCCAGGACACACACAGAGATGTGCTGCAACGTTTTTATTCCTTGCACCAAAATAACCTGTTATCTACAACCCCAACTTGCTCTCAGATGCCCCATCCCAACCCACCAGCCCCAGTCAATCCTCCTCCATCCCTGGCTGAACTCAGGCCTACTATCTCTGGAGGCCTGCAGAGCCCCTTGGAAATTACAAATTCTGTGACCGTCCTAGGCATCGGCCTAAATAATTCAACAGAAAAAAAAATTTTTTTTTTTAATTAAGCTACTTAAAAAAAAAAAAAAAAAGCTCATTCCAAATATGCCAGAATATGGCCAATCAGCCCTGAAGGATTTGGTTACTAAAAAAATTAAATCTTCCAAATGCAATGGCGATGATGGGAAATGTCAACCCTACGCCACAGAGTTAGTAAATCTTCAGAAATCCAATTTCAGAAAGCAGGATTGGGGCCAACAGTTCTTCAAGACCAGCTGGGAACTGGCTATGGGGTTCTAGGAGTCTCCTATCCTTGCCCCATGTGACCCACCCAAAGTCCCACCCTACAAATGCTACTGGTGGACTTCTTTTAGAGAGAAAAATTACAACTTTTTTTGTGGGGGGTGTTGGGGAAAGGGGCTCAAAATTCCCAGCAAGTTCAATTTATCACAAATTACCCTTTCTCTTTGGATAGGAACCTTATTTTTTTATCTGTCAAATTTCAATTCAGTCAATATTTGTCATCTAAAAAAAAAAAATTTTTTTTCTTTTTTGTTTCACCTTCACTTGATTCATTTTAAGGCTAAAAACTCCACATGATATACTGTTTGCACTGATGCTTTTCTATTCCAAAGGCACATTCCTTTGGGTTTGGCTTTTGTATGTATTGTGATTTTTATTTTCCTTTTTTAAAAAAAATAATAATTTTGCTGCTAGCATCAGCTCAATTGGTGTTTTAACCTAATTCTTCAGCAAAGTGTCCTACCATGGAAGATGAATAAGAATCAGAATTTTCATCTCTCAGTCCTTCCCTCTTGATAAAAAGATATATATATTTTTTGTTTAGTCAGTAAAATTTGTGCTTTTTTTTTTCACAACACCCCCCTCAAAATGATCAAAGCTAATGGATTTCTTCCCCCTCTGAAAGTAATCAAATTTCTGAAAAATACCAAATGCTAATCAACTACCAACCCCACATTACAATCAAAGAGGCCAGAAACCAATCTGGATTTTTTTTTAATAATAAATTTTTCAAATTGAAAGAGTGAACAGCATAGAAAAGGAAAATTTTCTTTCTTACCAAGGATTCCTCAATCCTTGTCTCCATCAATTGATTCAGTTGCATGTCATAAAAAATGGGCTTCTGTGAATCTACTGTTAGTTTTTTCATAATAATGTTAATTATGCATATCTTATTTTAATGGCGGTCTCTCCTACAAATCTGTGGGCTACTCAATTTGTATAATATATGAATTTACATTTTTTTTCCACTGAATATTGCTCAATAAAGGTTCCTGACATTTTCTGGATAAAACAACAACATAAAAGAAATGGCTAGACCTTTCAGGAAACAAAATCAGAAAACAGTCTTAATTATTCCATCAAAACAAAAAAACACACACAAAACCCAACAAATACAGAAAAAAGAAAGATAGGTTTTTCACTCTTTTACAGTTTCTGGGTTTTCTTTCTTTCTCTTTTTAAAAAAAAAATCTTAGGATTTAAATGCAGTAAAATGTAAATGCAAAATTTAAAAAAAAAAACTACAATTTTTGGGTGTGTCCAAAGCCAACATTTTAGGGTCTATTTTCTCTTTTAAATCCTTCTCTCATGAAAATAGAAAAATTTAAATATTGTCAAATGGTAAAATTAGTCATTTTTGCCCGCTGAGCTAAACAAGTTCCAAATTACAATGAAGTACGATTTCTAATTGCTTCATAAAGCCAATTCTCCCAGTTTTCCCTCAACTCAACAATTTCCCTCCTTCCCTCATTCCAATTAGTTTTTTTCTCAAACTAAAATGCGTTGGGTAGTCAAACTGACTTTGCTTTTAGAAGATTTTTTGCTTTCTCCCTTCAAGAACTGAATTCATTCAAATTCTAGCTTAATTTCCATTTACATATTATCTGGATTTGGCTTCAGAAATAAAAATTGTCTCCATGCCCCTGCCAGAATCAAAGTGAAAATTTTCATCCCCAAAAAGAAATAAAAAGAATCCCTTTCCCCTCCACTGCCTTGCAGAGCAAACTTTTGAAAAAATAAGAAATAAAAAATATTTCTTTTCAATTTTAATTTCTTTTTTTTTATTTACAAAATAGTATCCTCTAGGTGGCGTCGTTTTAATGGGAAAAAACTACCGTTTGAAGAAAAATTAGAAAAAAAAATTGAGAAAGGGAAATATGGCCTAAAAAAAAAAAAAAGATTGTTACAAAGATGGGGGGCCTGGGGGACGAGATCTCCAGGGGGGTCATCAGGGACCCCGCGCTGGGAAGGTCAGGGGGAAATTGCAAATTTGGGGGGGAGGGGGAAGAGCTGGAAGGGGTTGCATTTTTGCAAAATGTGAATTGTCCAAACTGAAATGGCTGCTCTGTTCTCTCGCCGCTTTGTTTTCTGGGCTCCGGTCCGAGCCCGGGGCTGGAGGGGGCGCCGGGTGGGGGCCCCCAAAGGCCCCCTCGCCACCCCCGCCCTCCTCACGCCCCACAGCGCCCGGGGGGGCTCTCCGGACCCCGGCCCTCCGGTTTGCACCCACAAAAAGCCCGCAAACGTGCCCAGGCACTTTGCATCCTGCAACCCCGGCGCTCAAGTGGCGCAGCGCCCCGGGCCCCGGCCCCCGGGGTCCCCCGCGCGGAGCCTGCCCCCGGCCCCCTCGTACCTGCGGAGCCGCCGCGCCGCCCGGCTGGTTCATGGGTCCGTGCGGGAGGAGGCGGCCCCGGCGCGTCCTGCTCCTCCCGGGCCGGGCTGCTGGTGCGCGCACAATGCCAGAGCCGCCGCCGCCGCCGCCGCCGCCGCCGCTCCCTCCT